AACAAAACTATTGAAACCAGTTTTACTAATAACAACAACAAAAAAATAAAAAATGAAAAGAATTAGAAAGGAATTCGATTAACTGTAATTTATGGCATTATAATTGTTTGTAAAATAAACAAAATTTTCACTATGAAAAAAAAAATAAATAAATATAAATAAATAAAATTGTAATCATATTTGATTATTATTAGTAAGAAAGTATAAGTAAGAGAAAAAAGTATGAAATGAAAATTGTTGGAAAAATAAAATTTATAATAATAAACACTTATCGTTAAGTAAAATTATCTCAGATAAGTTAAAAATTGCATAAAAATAATCGTCTAAAATAGATTCTAATACTATTTCATTGTAAAATAAATTTCCTAACAATACTTTAGTAAATTTTCTAAAAATACTTTAATAAATAATTACTTTCAAAAGATATTTTATATCAATAATTAATTTTAGTTTTTTCAAAAATTTGTTGTGAGAAAATTAACATTAATTTTAATCAGCGTGTGAAAAAAAATTAATTTGTAAACATCTATCAATTAAATTATATATTTTTAAAAAAAATTTTTTCTAATCAAATAGTTTTATGAAAATCATTTTTTTTTTCTTTTGTTGATATTTTTACAAAATATTTTTACAAACATATCAACAAAAAAAGAAAAAAGTTAGTGACAATATTAAAGAAAAAAGAATTTTACAAAAACTGAATAAAAATTATCTGATTGTGTTGATTTTATCCAGCGAATTAGTTTAATTAAATAAAGTCAAAAAAAAATTGATTTAATTATTTATTCATTTTTTCTTCTCTTTCTCTCTCTCTCTCTCTCTCTCTCTCTCTCTTTCCTCATTTTTTTCATTTCCATTTTATTTTTTTGAAATGATAAATTGAGGAAATGATGATAGTATTATCATCTATATCATTCAATGATTCATCTTTAACTCTTAGCTTTTATTCACAATCTATTTTAGCATAAAAATATTTTGAAGTATTAATCAATAAATCATTAGCCATAATAGATTTATGGCTAATGATGTAATATAATATAGAAAATAACGATTACTTTCAGCTATTCATTAATTTTATCCTATTTTTGGAATAAGATTTCATTATGATATCAGAAGATACATAAATCTTTCAAATACATTATTTAATACTAAAGTAAAAAATAAAAATTAAAAAAAAAAAAAAATGAAAACGCTATGAAATATTTTTAATTAAATAATTAATATTATATTTAAGCAAAATAAATAAGCAAAATTTTAACCAAATTATGCTAATTTTAGCTAAATTAATACAAGGTGGAAAAATTTTTTGGAATTGAAAATATTAATTGAAATTAGCAATTTCATTTTAAAATAATTTGATTTTTGCAAATAGTTTTTGTCAGTTTTTTTTTTTTTAAACAATAGATATTAGATAATTTGCTTCATAAATTCCAAATTTCATTCTATTTGATAAATAAATATTGAAAGATATATATGTGTATAGATATTTTAATGTTTATTTATTTATTTATTTATCTACGAAATATTTGATATAATTTGTTTACAAAGTTTATGAACTTATTTTGATTGTGCTAATTATGGCGGTGAATGATTCAGTTATAATTTAAAATAAATAAAAGTAGATTTACCGATTTAATTTGTTTTGTTTCATTTATATTCGAGAACCAATTGATTTAATTCGATTGAGATGGCTTTTCCTATTAGTTTACATTATTCAACTATATCTAATCATAATTTTAAAGTGATTAGTAATTGATTAGTAATTAATTGATAATTGATTAATTAATAATTTCTCTTCTATTCAGCAAATATTTATATGCATTTTATGTTAGCTGCAAAAAATAGAAGTAAATATAAAACTTTAATTTGCGTGTTTCGGAATTTATTTTCATACCTGTCTATGTGTTATCAGTTTTAATTTTGAATTTAAACAAATTTTATAGCAATATGAGATCAAATTGGATGATAAGATGATAAGAGATAATGATAAGAGATAATTGATCATGGATTGAATGAAATTTTTCTATAAATAAGATTTAAAAGAATACACAAAATTGTTGGTTTCCTTAAAATATTTGCATTTATACGAACAGATATGATTGATTGTGATTATTTGTGTTTCATCACTTTGATTCCGATTAGCATCTGAAATTTCGCGCTAAATTTAATTGCTAATATTAATTGTTAAAATCATACATAAAAAAAAATGAATTATATTGATATTATTCGAATTATATATAAATAACATTGATATTGGTTAAAATTTTTTTGGCTATACCTAAAATAAATTTTAAATATGCTAAAATTGTTTTTTTTTTCCTTTTGATTTACAACGAATGATCTAATTTAGTTTTGTTTGTATTTTCAATAATGAAGCAAATATTCCGAAATTCATTTAATTTTAATAGATAAAAATTTAATCTATTAATAAATTTAAAGTTTCGAATATCAGTAAAGTAAGTATTTGCTGATTTGAAATTATTGCTAAAATTTTAATTTCACTATGAAATAAAATGGAATTTCGAATTGTCCTTGCATTTTAGGAAATTTTTTATAATAAAAACTTCAAATTTTTTTTTCTTCTTTCTTTAAATACAAATTTGAAATTTGTATTTGGAAAAAAAATTGAAAACGTTACGTGTAAACGTGAAGAAATTTAGCATTTTTAGAAAATAATACGAAAGAAAATGATAGAAAACAATAAAAGGATAAGATTAGAAGATAGTATGTCAATTTATTATGCGCAAGAGAAGAGGAATATGAAAAAAGCGTATTCTGTTTGATAAGCAGAGATTGAGAGTAATAGATTAAATAACACATAATAATACGAGAGATTCTCATCAAATCAAAAATGGAATGTATGAGCTTTAAATGCAACTTTAGCATCTCAAATTGTTGCTGTAATAAAAGCTAAGTAAAGGAAGGAGAAAGGGGAGGGGATTAGTTATGCAAATTAGCAAATGGAGTAAGCCAAAGTAAGTTAAAGTTGAAAATTGAATAAAACTAAACATATAACGCTTAATTAATTGTATAATTGGTTTTTTTTTTCTTTTTCAATTTCTTTGCTTATCTTTATTATCATTATTATTTCATCAATTTTCGTTGAATTATATGAAAATACAAGCGATGAGAATATCGTTTAATATCATTATTGCATTCTAATTAGTTGTTCATTGTAATTGCTGTTTGGAAAAAAAATTCTTTAACTGATCATCTTTTAGATAATTGACACAAAATACAAAAAATCGCAAATATGGTATGAAAGGGAATAAATGTATAATTTCTTTATGGCTAATTTTTGCGATCATCGATTCAGATTTTCAAATTTATCATTCATTTTTGTTAAGGTCAGTTGCATTTATATCTTTCATTACCTGATGTAAATTATTATCTACAACCATCAATATTTATTAAATATCTATTATACTCATTGTTCTTTCAAGTTATTAACAGGTTTTATGAGTGTTAACGGCTGAGTAATTTTAGGGCTTATTTTGTGATACAGATTCTTATTATATATTGTTAATAGCTTTTATTGGTGTATATGGTAAGCTATTACAACGCATATAAGTTCTTATCACTTTAATGTTTATTTGTTAACATTTGTTTATTTATGAAATATTTGATATAATTTATTTACAAAGTCTATTAACTTATTTTCGTTATGCTAATTGTAGCAGTGGATGATTCATTCATAATTTTCGCATAATTTAAAGCAAATAAAAGTAGATTTGATTTAATTTGTTTTGCAAGTTGTCATATTTCGTATTTTATCACTTAGAAGAGACAGTGACAATCCATAGAGTTTTCAGCAAACTTTTGGATTAATTCTGTTTGTTTGTTAGTTCTGTTTTTTTTTTCATATCGTACGAATGAATACTCTAAAGTGTAATTGAAAAAATTGAATACTTTCCATTCTATTTCTATGGGTTCTTTTACAAGTAATATAATAAGACATATTCGAAGTGAATAATATATATATTTCTACCCTTTTCCTTTTCTAGTGAAATATTATTGATCGATAATTCGAAATTTAATGTATTATTGCAGGAAGGCAGCATGAACGATGAACAGTGTTGAAGATTAAAGTCAAAACGAAGAATTATGTTAGGGACGAATTGATCGGGTAATCATGAAACTAAAGATTTATAAACAAAAGTTCATGTAAATGGTTGGTGAAGAACTGTTCGGAGCAGTAAAGATCAATGTGAGAGAAAATTCCGAAATTGGTGAATTTCTGTGATACTTATCCCGATTTGTCGGATGTATTTTTCTTTCGTTTGTTTCTAATTGCTTAGTTCAAAAGTTTTATTTCATTCTGTTTCTGTAGAGGGAGTTAAGTCATTGAAGAGAATTTTTTGCACAATTCGCATGCTGTATATATCATATCCTATCCTTTGACATGTAAGTTTCGGAAATTTAGCAAAAGTATCTTTCGAGAGTTTACATTTGTTGTAAATTTTTCCTGAGATTGTTTTTGTATTTTATGTGATTACACATTATAAATAGTTCGAATTTTATAAGAAGTTTCGCAGAAATTGTTACCATTTTACTGAAGAAATTTTCTTTCGTTAATGTGATTTGCTGGTGAAATATAAAAGGGAATGAAGTAGCAAACAAATTACAGAAAGTTTGCCAAACAGCTGAAGTTTTAAGAGTAGTGCGACTTTATACCGGACAGCATACCTATATTATATACTTCAAGGCTAATGGAGATGTCAAAGGTTACAAGTATTATGGATTTGATGGTGAAATAATCACGAATTAGTAATTATTTAAGATATACATAATACAGCTATTGCCAGTTAATAGTGTTGGTGAGGTTGTATTTAATGGCGGTACTTTATGCTAAAGTATGACTTCTAATATTTCATTTTTCGTGGGTACGTGGACTTTTCGACACCACTGTGATATAACTCTGGTATCCCATCTTTTGGGATTCCTCCATTTGATAATTTATTATATTAGTACGTGGTAATATAAATTATTCTCTATTCCAGATGATATCTTCACTGATTACATTTTTATTTCATATCAATCCAATAAATTTCAAATTATTTGCTGTATTTTTATGGATATTTGATGCTGCTTTATGCACGTTAGTCATCCGAAAAGTACCATGTAAGTTGTTTCTTTTCATACTCTGTAAGATTTTTTGTCAGGTAAAATGATTCGATTGCTTGCTTCTCTTATTTTTTCAATTTTTTTTAAATACAAAAGCAACATTTACAGATACCGAAATAGATTGGACTACTTACATGCAACAGGTGAGTTGCTATGAACAAGGAATTCGTAATTACTCAAAAATTGAAGGTGATACCGGTCCTATCGTGTTAGTTTATTTCTGCTTTATCTAAATTTCTTTTTCATTAAGCAATTTTGCTCTTTTTTTAATGCAATTCATGAAGGATTAGAATGATAGCTTAAAAATTGTGAAGTAGCTTGAAAACTGATATATGGTTGCTTGGACTGTAAATGAATTGGTTTGATAGGTTGTGAGGCAATAAACTAATCCACCAATAATAATGAACTAACAACTGATAATTTGAGACAAATGTTTACATCTAAAGATTTCTTTAAGAAAAATGTATCGTTTAAATTATTAGATAAAACTGAGAAAATAATTTTCAGGTATCCAGCTGGTCATATTTGGTTTTATTTAATCCTTTCTCATATCACCAATCATGGACAAGATATCCGTACGGCTCAATATATTTTCGGATTTCTGTATTTGACAAGCTTATTATTAGTTTTTCGTATATATTATATGAGCCATAGAGTAAGTTTTAAAAGGATTTCTTATTACTATTTGAGAAAAAATTTGTTTTTAAATCTTTTTTTTACCATATAACTCATGATAATCTAGATTAAACGATTTGAACTGTTTCATTGATAGCCGTTTATTGAAGTGAAGTTAGAATAGCGAAGAAAAAAAGTGTACTAATATATGTGATGCTTATGTCAGTATGACTTAGTTCCAGTATGCATTTAAATTACTTTTTTAAAAATGTCTTATACTTAGTCTAATCGTAGAATAACATAGCATCGACATATATTATTGCATTTTGTTACGATAAGGATTTTCAATTCTCATTTCTTTTTTCTAAAATAAATAAATGAATTCAGCATTGTTTGAGTAAAATCAATTCTTTGTTTCCAGTTGCCTCCATTTGTACTAATTATACTGTGTTGTATATCGTATCGAATTCATTCCATTTATCTTCTTCGATTATTCAATGATCCAGTTGCAATGTTGCTCTTTTATTTGGCTGTTAATTTATGGATTAGTCATTATTTTCAAATTGGCTCCATATTTTATAGGTTCTTTCTTTTACTATGAATTAATTTAATTTTGAAGGTCTAAAAACCTACGAAATTTTTTTACAAATTACTATATTCAAATGATTAGTAATATTTTCAGTTTGGCTGTATCAGTGAAAATGAATACATTATTGTTTTCTCCAGCACTTTTGTTCATTCTTCTTTTGAATACTGGTTACTGGAATACGTTCAAAACAATTGTATTATGCGCTACGATTCAGGTAAACAAGTTAACGTGAGAGTGATATACATTTTTTTTTTATTTTTATATGAAGGAATAAAGCAATTGTTAGTTTTTATTTGTAAACAGTGGCGTTATGTTTAAAATTAAGGAATATTCCTAATTAATTTACTGTTTTCATATCGAAAATCGTTCACTATGATTAGGTACAAATACTACTTAAATTAAAAAAATTAAGTAGTGTTGTTAATTTTCAAAATTAAGTAAATTAAGTATGCTTATATCATTTCATATGATAACTTTGTCAATTATAGCAATTTTGCTATCCTAAAAATTTCTTATTGGTTTTTTTTTTCCTCATTTATTTTTATTTTCTTATATTATGCTAATTTTATAGATTGTCTTAGCACTTCCGTTCCTACTGCATGATCCATTCTCGTACTTGCAAAGATCTTTCGATTTGGGCAGAGTTTTTCTCTTCAAATGGACAGTGAATTGGCGTTTTTTATCAGAGGAAATATTTTTGGATCATCGGTTTCACATATTCTTACTAGCCACTCATATTATTTTGCTTTTCTTTGCTGGATACTTATGGTTTAGGTATTTTTTTTTTCATTCAGCTTTGGTTTCTATCAAGTTGAGCGTTAATTTTATCGGAATATTGATAATGTTTCTTGAGCATTCGATTACTTATCTAGATATGATTATAAAATGATTTGAAATGTTTAGAAATATCAAACAGTGAGTTTTCTCAGGACAGTTGTGACTGAAAAACTTGATATATGAGCAGATGAAATAACTGCTTTTATCTGCCTGTGATTATAAACTGATTTGAAATGTTTACAAAAGTATCATTTTAATTTATAAGATTTTGAAATTAAATAATTTCAGGCGATATAGTGGATATATGCATATGTTATCAATGGTGAAGTATGGTAAATTGTTATTGAGTACTAATGGTATTCTTTTTACTTCATTCTACTTTATCTCTAGAAAATATAAATTTATTAAAAAAAAAATTCCTTTATCAAGTTTGATATTTGTTACATATTGAATGATTGCAACTTTTAAAGTAAAATCAATTTCTATTTTTCTTTTATTGCATATCACATAACCACAACTTTATGAGTATTTTTTTTTTGAAATAATTTTAATTTTCAGAAATGCTTATAGCTTTGTTCACAGCAAATTTAATTGGTATATGCGTTGCTCGGTCATTGCATTATCAATTTTACAGTTGGTACTTTTATACATTACCCTATTTGCTGTTTGCTGGTTTACCGTTCCATAGTGATTGGTTTTTCAAGGACAGAATAACATCCATGCAAAAGTAATTTTTTTTTTATTCTGTCTGTTATTCTTTGAATATATGATATAATATTACAAACTTTATTGTTTGCAAAAATACTCGAAGCACTTTTTTCTTGGAATGAACAAAAATATCAAAGTGTAAAATTTTTTAATTATTTGTTAATATCTCATATTTACAGATCAGTTGATGCTGTATCACCATTGTCAATAATTTTAAGGTATTTTCTTTAACCAAGCTTTATATTTTATCAAGTAATTTTTAGTATCACTAGTTTTCCTCAAAATAATGAACGAAACTGGTATTGCACACTTATATTTGGTGTATCCCATTTACTGACAAGATTGTTTACTTGTTTTGAAGCATAAACAACAACGAAAATATAAAAAAAAAAAAACTTGCGGATTTTTAGATGCTGTATTCTTGTTGGAATTGAGTTATGCTGGAATACCTATCCTTCGACAGTTATCAGTTCAGCAATGCTTCATTGCTTTCACATTGCTATATTTTACATATTGATACATGATTATTATAATGATAGTAATCTGAAAATACATAAAATTACATAAATCTTTGTTTTTGCTTCTTCATCTAATTTGAAGTCTTCTTTCCTGGCAGGAAATTGTTTATGTTATATTAACATCTATTCAGGTTCGTCCTAGTAATTTTAAAGCTGCTCAATTAGCTTTTTTTTTTAAGAAAATCTTAGAAAAAAAATCGAAATAATGACAGAAAGTTGGTGAGGAGTTTTGGATTTTTATGGAAATTGTGTTCCTTTCAGAATGGATGTCAGAAATTTGCATCAATTTATATTGTTCAACTTGTAGAGCTTATATGAATTAATGAAGATCCAATAACAACTACAAATCCCTAATTTTCTATTTTTATTCGTTTAGAATGATAAATTGTGAAAAATAAAATGCAAAGTTGAAGTAATTAAATGAATTGCTTAATTTAATTAGTAATATTATTTCTGCAATGTCATAGAGATAAGTTACTATGTTCTATATAACTTTGATTCATAGAATTGTTATTTCTTTTCTATTTTTCCTATAATTTTTACCATATAAATTTGCAGGCATCAAATCGAGTAGACCTTTGGTTCTTTTTTTTTTATTATTCATTCGTATTTCTGAGTTAACAAAGTTAAATGATCAGCTGAATGATCAACCATGCACTCATGTAACCATTTATGTTTATCAGTGACAAAAGAGAAAAATCTTTTTTTTTTTTTTTTTAGTTTCTTTTGTGCAAGGACATTCTATATAAATAATATGACAAACATGTATGACAATTTAAGTGAATTTGTTCAAAAAATATCGACTATAGTTTGAATATAATCATTTCAATGGCTTCTAATGTCTCGAATATTACACCTTATAACTTATTTACCTTGAAGATAGATGAAAGTCGATCGTTTATAAGTGTTTTTTTTTTCCCTCAGTGATTTCAGTTTGAAAAATTAATTTTGATTATTATATCAAACTCATATGAGCATATTCTTTTTGTCATTTTGCCTTTAAAAATTTACATTGAATGATTCAGAAAATTGGTTAATTTCAGGATGACATCTTTGCCTTCTTGTTCTCGCACAATTCTGTCTTTGTTTCATAATTTATCGATAAATTCAAGAAAATTCGATCAGATATTCTTTAAAAAGAATTTAATTGGTAAACATTTCTTATGTACTGTTTCGGAAGGTACAATAATTTTTGATCGTGAAACGAAGAGAATTCAACGCAATAGAGCTGCTCAATTGGATGATTATGATGTTTGCCAGTATGTTAAAGTAAGTTGTTATTTAATATTTATTCTTATATTTCAGAAAAGGAAAGAAAATCCTATGTAAATGTTTATTTCCTTTCTTTTTTTGTTTTTTTTTTTCCTTTTTTTTTCCATTTGCTTTTTGGCTTTATTTGAAATTCATTTATCATTTTTCAAACTTATTCATTTGGCATCTCTTTTAAAATTTTTGTTAATTAAAATTAATATCTGATATTGAACTATTTAATCATATATGGAAATATGCGAATTCAAGTGATGAAATATAATACTAAGCATTATTACATGATACTAGTATTTTTTTAATGTTAGTATGCATTTTTCATGATTTTGTGCTAGTAATTGCTATGAATTTATATTGTTATATTTGTTGATGTTTTAAAATGAAATGAAATAATATTTGTAGGAGACTATAATACGTTGTTTTGTTTTTATGTTAGTGTGAACGATAAAAAGAAAGATGTAACAATTCAAATGTTTATTGAATCAAGAAAAAAATTTCGATATTGGCAATTTTTTTTAAAAAAATAAATAATTAACCTTTTGTAACTAGTAGTAACATATTTGTTCTGATTGATTTTATCAGTGATAAAGAAATTTTTTGTTCTTAGTTTTCCAATCCTTAATTGGATAATGGTATGTTAAATCCAGAACATTTTCCTAATTCATGTATGAAATTTTTGAAGTCATTAGAAGCATTTGTAATAAATTAATTTCAGGATGAAATAGCTTATCGTGTAGCTGATAAAGTATTCGATTTAACCAAATTCAACGATATTTGCATTGATATCGGATGTGGTAGTGGCCATATTGCGACGAATTTGATTAAGGTTCTTTCTTTTTTTCTTAAATTCAGTAAATTGTCTATTGTTTATTTTTGCTAATCGATAATGGTGTGTGATTCAATCCAGTGCTTCATAATTTTCACTTTAAATAATAAATATTTAAGTTATTCAATAGTTCAGTTGATTTTATATTATGATCTAAAAATAATGACAGATAATCTATAAGTGAAAAATTAAATAATGAGTAAATTTATTCGGATCATTTGAGTAAAGGTATAACAAGCTTTTTGAAAACGATCTATAAATATCCTTCTTTAGCATACAGTTATGTTTCCAAGAGAAAGTCTACCATGTAGTTTATTTTATGATTATAATATATTCTTTCAATATAGGTAATTCATTATGAAAATAATTCGCAAAAAATTTGATAAGATGGAATTGTTTACATGGAAGAGTGTTAATATTGCATGAAAGTATAACAACATATGGATGATAAATAGTTAAAATGTTTATGATTTCATAGGAAAATGTGGGTGTTATTATTCAATGTGATATGAGCGCAGGACTGATAAGACGAAGTAGAGGTGCAGCTGATCCTGAAGTACCTGTTTTGAGTGTCATTGCAGATGAATCAATGGCACCTTTCCGGGAAAAGTCAGCTGATTTGGTGGTATCCAGTCTTAGTGCCCATTGGATTAACGACCTAGCGAAATGGTTTCTATTTGTTTATTCTTTTGAAATGACGAAAGAAAAGCATTATTATTGCATATCGGTGCTAACAATCAATTTCATTCCATAATGTCTCTTTATTCATTTATTAATTTTTTTTTTTTTTTGTTTTTATTCCACAGAGTTTACTCGTGATTAGTTTTTTTGAATTGAAGTATTTTTCTTTTTTCCAAAAATAACAGTTAAAGATGGTTAGATTATGATTAATATGATGTCTTAATGCTCTTTTGTATTTGTTTTGGTTTGTTTTGTCGTATTTTTACGCCAGATTTTATTTTTGCATAGTGTTTTAGAAGTTTGATTTTAATATTAATGCAGTTAAACTTGATCTGAGTTATTTTTCTAGAAAAAAATTCAGGTTTTCGCGTTGTTTATCGATCCTTCGTCCTGATTGTCCACTTATTGGTGCTATGCTAGCTAATGAAACATTGTATGAACTTCGAATAGCCTTACAGTTAGCTGAAATGGAGAGATTGGGTGGCATTGGTTTGCATATTTCACCGTTTGTTAGAGCAGATGATGTGGGATCGTTAATGAGTCAGGCTGGTTTTGGAATGATTACATTGGATACGGATGAGCTGACGGTAATAGTAATATTTATCTTTTATTTTGAAATTAATAACTAATCATTGATTTCTGTTTTTTTCTCCCTATTTTCTATCGAAATTTTTTCATTTTCATTTTTTTTTTTTCAGGTTGGTTATCCGAACATTTTTGCTTTACTCTATGATTTACAAGGTATGGGTGAATCGAATGCACTGCGAAATCGATCAGCACATATTAGAAAAGATATTCTTATAGCTGCTGATGCTATTTATAGGTGAAGATTGTTGTATAAACGTAGTTAGATTACGTATAAACGTGAGAAAAAGTTTCTAGAATGTTTATTTTTGTATGTTAGAAGAGATATTCTTATAGCTGCTTATGTTATTTATAGATAAGGTTGTTATATAAATGTAGTTTGATTACGTATAAACGTGAAAAAAAGCGGGAGCTTCTAGAATGTTTATTTTTGTATAAATCACCATGTATAAATGTTTATCCGTATTTTAGGTCAATGTTTTCTCGTGATGATGCGCCATGTCCAGCAACTTTTCAGATTGTTTCATTTATTGGTTGGCGTCCCGGTCCTTTAATGCCAAAACCAGCTAAACGTGGCTCACAGAAGGCATCATTCAAAGATATTAGCAAATTTGTTGAAGGAAAAGTGTCATTTCCAGGAGATCATAATCCGAAAATAGGGAAAGAGTAAAAGATTTGTAGACATCATTTTGAAAAAAAAAAAAAGAAAAGTTCACCAATGTTATGAGTCTTCTTCGCATAGTTTAATATTGGAAAATTTTTGATATATTCCGATTTAGATCAGTTCATAATTATTATTTCTATTTTTTCGTGATATACTTTCAAATTTGCTTTAATTAGTAGCTGTAGAGAGGAAAAAAACTGCTTTTTCTCTTCATTTATTTATTTATTTTTTTATGAACTGTTAGCTTTGATATATCTTCTTTTCTTTACTTATATCAACCTGAATTTTCATATTTGATTCGTTCAAAAATGACAAAAACTGTTGTGATAGTTTCAAGGTAATATTTTTATATTTTTCAATGTTCTAGCAGCAATCATCGATCATTTTTGCCTTCACCATTGTTTCGTAAAATAAATGCGTTCCATGCATTATTAGAATGTTAGTTTTTCTTAAATGTAAATGCAAGTAAATAAATTTTCTAATCTTTGATTAGAAATTTTTTTTTTTTCGTAAAAAAAATTAAAGTCACATGATGAAATGCCAATGCGTATGTATGTATTTCTCTAACTGTCCTTGAAATTCTAATGTTAATTTAAATAATCAGTTATTAGAAAGAATTTTTTTAGGTGATACTTAAAAAGTAGTAATTGGTAAAAGCTGAAATAAGAAAAACTTTTGCAATGAAACAATTTAGTACTATATGTAAGTAAGTAATTAAATAATAATTTAATTTTATTTCAAGGAAAAATAGGATTGAAATTTCAATGAATTTAACAATGTCCACCATTAAAAATATGAAAGCAATTACTCTAAACTTTGACAAATTAGCAACTAATGATAATAAAAGAAAAAAAATATAAAAATTCCAAATCAATAGAATTGACATCAAATTTTAATATTTACAAAAAGTTTTCATTTTCTTTTAATCAAAAAAAAAAAGTCCAAATATGTACATCCAAGCTTGGTAAAAAAGTTTTTTCACTTTATTAAAATGTATTTTGCATAAAAAGTCTTGTAAACTTCAGAA